TTCAAATCAGTAGATTAGAGTAGTAGTCTCCAACTTGAGAGCTTTCCATATAGGTCTCGTATGCTTGTTGTACATAAAAGTTAGGACCTCAGTGCTTTTGATGTGAAGGCAGATCAATGTGTTACCAAAATGATGATTCTACTTTTATTATTTTGAAAAGTTTTTGAAAAACATTTGCTTTCATGTATTTTTTGTATAAATTGCTTTTATGCATATAATATTTAAATTAATTAAAATGGGCTTAGCCTAGCTTAGTTTACAACTTTGAGTATTTTGATATTTTTCTTAAGATATTTTTCATTAAATTAGTTTTTTACTACAGGTAATTAATTTTCTTTCTATAAAGTTTTATATTAATTTGAAAGTAGGTTTTTCTTTTAAGGAAACATTTTATATAGAACGAGTTTTTACTTTTGCTACAATCTTTTTCTATGGTTATTATTTCAAGACTCCCCCAAGATTAAAAATACCTAGAGGAGGGTGTTATAGCTACTCTTCCAACATGGGCCACTTCTAGGCTGTAGACTCCTCTTTAGCTCATCTCTTGATAGGCTTTGCAGTTTGCCTCATAGCTTGGATTACATGATTCCTAACTGCTAGAGCCATCCAAGTAGAAACAATGGTTGGCTAAGGTGCAAAACTTCCAACTCTAACCTGTTATTCTACTTTAACCACTATAGGACCCTTGGACTTCTTTTTTGTGGGAGTGACTTGACTCATAATAATTAACAGATAATTCATCTTAGTTGCAAAATATAAAAAAGTCAAAATTTAATCAGAACATATCTTCAAATAAAATAAACTAAATGATAGCACACCTTCACTTAATGAGCATGTCTCATATAGCTCTGTAGCATCAATAATTTCAAAGCGCATGAGGTGAAAAATATTTAATACATTTCTTTTCTCCTCTTATTAATTTTTTCACCTCTATCCATTCCACTATGCTTATCCCGTACATATTTGGGCTTGACCTCCTTAACTTCCATTTACATAGAGCCTCCACTTTTGTGTCAAATTTAGCCCACATAGTATCATCAACAAAAAAAGAACTTATCTTTCCACCTCTTAATAAAAGAAAGGCCAGCACTATACAAACTTCAATTATCATTATTGAACACCCAAGTTATGAAGTAGCACCACCTTTTCTCTATCTTATTGTCAACTTTTATTACATAAAAATACTTAAACATATCTACAGTCAGGTTCTCAACACCTTGAGTTTGATAATAAACCAAAAAAGCTATAATAATTAAGTTGAATTACATTAGGGATGAGCTGTGTAAGGGCTATCTTGTAATCTACCAATAGCTCAAAAAGTAGTTTTGGAATAGGAAATATGAGCCTGGCAGCTACATAGTGAGTGTAAAAGGGCATCCAATAATCCTTTGAAACCAAACAAGCTCTCTTTTCTTTCCCGACTAGCCTCATTAACATATGGGGTTTTATCCAATAGTTATCCACCAAATGAACTAGACTACTAATCTTCTAGGAGGATTCATATAATTTCACCTTAGATATAATCGAGTTTGAGTCATTAAAAGATTCAGTTTGGTTATTTTCTATCTCTAATATGGTGGATAGAATTCTTACCTTGTCCACCTCCTACTCATTTAGCTCAACACCAAAAGACTTTGTTTCCTCAAAGTTTTCATTCCTTCTTGACCAATGGCTCAGACTTCTGCACCTCCCCCTATACCCAAAGTCTTTTCAAAAGAATGTCTTCAGTTTCATAACTCTTACTACAAGGGATTGGAGGTGGAAAGTATATTGAATCTTGAGTGAGCTTGATCTCATGTTTTATCTCACTCTCTGATCTAATCCTAACTTCCTTAAGGGGACTTGAACCTAAATCTGAACGTGTTATGGATACGTTGGACTCCCTACTCAAACTAGAAGCAAAACTCATAAGATTGTTATCAAATCTTGGAAATTGGAGCTACAACACTTGTTGGTAAAAGCCATTATGAAAAATTGTTGTTATGCATGAACACAAGGAAGCTTGGACGGTAGCATAGCCTTGGTAAAATTTTGGCAACATTTTAGTAGCAATATCACACAGTAACTCAAAGCAACCTTAAGTGCCCCAATTTATACCGGAGTCTCGTAACCCTCAATAGTTACGATCAATCCTATCCGACAACTGGCATCCATCTTTTCAAATTCGAAGTTATTTCCAACTATAATCATTTATTAGAGCACAATTTTCGAAAACAACTATCAATTGACACAACTATTTCTCAACCAATTTAATAGGCCCATTGAAGCCTAGCTTAGTGAGTATAACCTCATTTCATGAATTTTCATCTCAGTTACTACCAAAAACATATGATTATGTGTTATGAATTTTTATCTCAGTTATAGCTAAAAATACATAACGATGTCATGTATTTTTATCTCGATTACGGCTAAAAATACATGGTTGTGTCAGGTACTTTTATCTCGACTACGACAAGAAATACATGACTATATATTATAAATTTTTATCTTGACTATGACAAGAAATACATGACTACATGTCATGAATTTTCATTTTGGCTACAGATAAAAACACATAATTATGTGTCATGAATTTTTGTCTTGGCTATGGCAAAAAACACATTATTCCATTTCCTGAATTTTGGAGTGGCTAGACATTTTTGATTATTTCACCAACAAGACGATGTAAATAGCTTTTCAAGGCTTATAAATACCCTCTAAACATTGGAGTGTGTACCTTAAGATCCAATTTTGGGGTTTATAGGTCAATCAAATCAAAGGACTAGATTTAAAGAAAACTTAGAGATTTTATGCGATTATAGTAGGGAATTTGAAATTTATACATGAAAAAATGAGCATTTGAAAAAGTTTTTATTTATAAGATTTAACACAATCCAAAAATTTGAATTTTATAACAAAAAAAAATTGAAAAGGTTTTTATTTATAAAATTTAACGCGATCCAACTATCAATTAACCCAACATTCAATATACACCAATGTTGTTGGTACCGTTTCATACTGGTTTTATCAATTGACCAAAATGGTACAAGCTCAAATTTTGTTTCAGTCAAATACCGATGTACCAACTAAAATTTAGTACACCGGCCGGTACACCAAAATTTGACCGATACACTTATGTCTAAACTTAAAAAAAAAAAAAAAAGATTCCCTAGCCAAAATGACGTCGTTTTGGCTAGGGACTTTTTAATTCACCTTGCAATTTTAGATTGCAGATCTCATCTTTGTTCTCCTTCTTCCTCACAAACGACGAACGACAAACAACGAACCTCATTCTCAACTCATCGCCAGTGGGCTGGTGAATGCTTTGCTGCCACTGCTTTTTCTTTCCATTTCTTATTTGGCGATCTCTTCACCATTCTCCAGCAGCTCAGCTCCGTCTCTTAGGTATGAGTGAAAATCTTGATTGTTCTTCCTTTTCTTTTTTGATTTAGAATTGTAGATGCTTAGGGGTTTGACTAGTAACAGTCTGAGTGATTGTTCTTGCTTTTCTATTTCTCTGTATTTTGCAATTTGCGTTCATTTTTTTGGCTTTTCCTCCTAGCATGCTTGATTCAGATTTAAGAAACAGTTTGGCGATTTTGTGTTTTTGGCAGTGGGTGATTGATCTTCCTTTTCTATTTCTCTACATTTTGCAATTTGCATGCATTTTTCTCTACAGTGCATTCTTCTCTATGCATTTTGCAATTTGTTTTTTCTCTTGGTGTGGTTGATCGCAATTCATGAATGATGAAACAGTTGTGAGGCAGTGGCGATTATGTGTGTGGCAAAGGTGATTGTGTGTTGTGTGTGTTTGGTAGGGGTGATTGCTATTCCTTTTCTATTTCTCTGCATTTTGCCTGCAATTTTCTCAGTTTTTCTCTTATCATATTTCTCCACAGTTTCTATTCTTGTTATTTTCCATTTAATTTTTTTTTGTGTAATTCAGAGGCTTGTTATTTTTCATTTAATTTTTGTTCTGTAATTGTTTTTTTTTTTTCTTAGTGATTGTCTTTGTAGGATATCATTATGAATTTAGTGGTTCAAGTACTAGTATCGGTGACTCTGTTATATCTGCCCTTTCTAAAACAGATGATCCTACTTAGGCTCATTATTTGATTATCCCAGGAAAGAAGAATCAAAGAAAATGTTTGTGATAAGTTCATATAAGGGTGGCAGAACCGGCATGCTTTATAATTATTTTAAAATTTGATATTTAATTTATAAAAAATATATTTATAATGATAAATAAAAAATAATACGTTAAAAATTTTGATATCTAATAGATACCATTTTAATAGTAAAATTGATACATGTAATATAATAATACGATAGTGACAACTTTGATATACTCTATCGAATGACCAGAGATTTGTTAAATAAATAGAAAAACCCATTAGAAATAAATAAACTTAAAAAGCCTAACGTCACTATCATTCTCTATTTCCCTTCTTCGGTCTGATTTTCACCCTCACGCAGCGCCATCAGCCGCCGGAGAAGGCTGCTCAACCTGGTTCCGAACTCCCTGCAAGTTGCAGTCTTCCATCCGTCGTCCGACACTTGGCCCTACTTTCTGAACCTTGCCACTGCCGCCTCGTCCGGTTCCTGTTCATACTCAAACATCGACGTCTCAGCTATGTCGGAATCTTGAAACCGTAGTCCATGCTCCGCTACCATACCGCCGCTGTCCACTCTCTCACCAGCTCCTTGCTGATAAGCTACGATCTGTCGGAATCTTTGCTCGCTGTCAGAACCTTTCCTTGCTGCAGGACCTCCGCGATCCGTACTGGTAACCATTTTATTATTAAATGCCAATTTGTGCTATGCTTTCTTTTTGATTGTGGAAAATTATGTTAGTTTTCATTCGGCAAGCTGCGCTTGAAGTAGATGTTTAGGAAAACTGAGGTTACATGAAACACATTATTTATTGTTAATAATTGAGTTCTAGGGAGAGTAGAAGTTAATGGTGAGAGATGATGAATTTTGGTACTCTGAGAAGAGTATTTTAAGGGGCCAACGCGTGGTTATATTTGAAGATACAAGAAGTTAAGAGCAATGCTCGACCTAAGGCATTGCCACATCTCTGGATTTTGGGGCTAATGCCAATTTACTGGGGGCTTTATTACTCACTTGAATAGAGTGAAAATAAGTGGATGGTTATGTTGCTTTTATTTCAATGAGTACTACAGGAATGCAACCTAAGCTGATGGTTATAAGTGATAAATGATAGCCTTATCTCTTTTTTGTTTCTTCTTGTCTGTTAGTCGTGGTAGTTAGTTTCCTTGATATTTTTGCAGTTTTAAAATTTGGTGACATTTAATTCTATTTGGGCTGGATCGGCACAAATTTTACATCATACATGTTTTATTCTGTTTTAAGTTTTCTTATTGCCTGAACATCTTAGTACACAGGGAAATTCTTGCTTGTGGTTTCAAATGATGGATTTCTCATGGCTGAGTGCTATTCTACTTGGGGCTGGCTGCCTTGCTTTTGGATACTGCATAGGTAGACACTGTCCTACTTGTTTATTCTTCTCAAAAAGAGGAGGTAAGAACAATGCAGTTGTTAAAGCAAACAAGAAGGTCAAAGAACCATTTGAAATTGAAAAGTTGGCTGATATTCTAGAAGATTTTAAAATGGTACTGAACCCTCATCCTCTCTCTCAGTCTCTCTTATATCATTATTATATGCATATTTGTGCACAGAAATGTGTAAGTAGATGGTGAAGATCCATTTCTTATATTTTTTATGGTTGGTTTTTACCTGCAGGTATTGGTGGTAAGAAACGATCTTAAGATGGGTAAAGGGAAAATTGCTGCCCAATGCAGGTTCAAATATCTATGCTAGCTTGGCTAATCTTTTTTAATTTTTTTATTGGTGCAAATGTTAACTGTTGAGATTGGATTTTTATATTAAACCACACAAATAATTAAGTTTTTTTTCTTCTTTTCTTTTTTTCTTTTTCTGGCCAACTAATTAAGTGTTGTTGAAATTGAGTTATTTGATTGTTGATGGATCCTTTGTTCACTTCAATATGCTGTATCAAATGCGACTTGTTATTATTTTACTTTGGAGGATGAATATCCTTATGTGGAAAAAGAGGTAAATGTCCTATTGAAATCTAGTTTATTTGTCATACTACTAGAGTGCTTGGGTTTGATATGCAGGCATTTGTTGAACATAGCTCCTTTTTTAAATTGCCCAGCATAGATGATATGTCTATGATCAAACCATTTAACTCCATTTGCTGTAGTGCATTTGAAGGAAGGCAACAAAACATAATAGAGAATAGATAGCAGCTTGAAGGACATTAATCAGAGCACTAGATTTTTTTGTATGATTCAATTGAATGAAAATGGAGTTAAACCCATGGAGAGGTTTTGTAAACCTCTTGGCTAAAAGATCAGCCAGTTGAAAGATTTATTTAAGGGGTTGGTTGTGAAGGCAGGTGTAATGAATGAGATGTCCTATTCTTTCTGTCACATCTCTAGCATTTGTCATAAAAAGAGAGTGATCAAGCTCTATACTCGCATCAGCTTTATTTGGCATGAATAAATTGTAAATTTGCCATCCACGACTTTCTCTTTGTTGTTTTTGTTGAAAGTTAGAATCTGGGACCATTTCACAGAGTAACTTATTAACCTCTGTTCCATAAAACAATTATCCTGCATGATGGTGGATTGATTGATGATTCTAGGTTGGTTGCTTTTAATTTTTTGACTTTCTTTCTGGTATTCGACTGCATTTCATTCTTGTTTATGATCAAAATATTTGCTTCCATTGTTTAGTCATGCAACTTTGGGTCTCTACAAAAAGCTCTTGAATCGGGCACCAAAAGCTTTAAACAGGTAGAGACACACTAGTCTGGTTTTATGCCAGTCAGAATTAAATATATGTTTTTTCCTTTCCAATAAAAGTGTTATCTCTTGTCAATATGCAGGTGGGAGATGTGTGCTCAGCCTAAGGTGGTTGTGAAAATAGAGAGCGAGGAAGATATGCTTGTTTTGCAAGTCAGTATGTTTTAAGAGTTATGGTGGTGCTAGATAAGCTAGTAATTATCTTTGATATTTTTATAATTAATAGGCATCCAGCTTTCTAGTTGGGCAATGCCTCAGCCTGATTGTAATTGATCTTGGGAAGATAGTATCATATAAAAGTCATAAGTTATGGCAATACAAAGTTTAGATTGGGGGAATGAAATTCTTGTTTTTTCCCCCTCATGCACATGCTAACTTTCGCATGTTGTTTATTTATGGGTCCAATAGATGGAAGAGGCAAAGGTTATTACTTGTTCTCATCTGAGCTCTAAACACTCCTTTCTTAAATATTGGTTAGTTTGATGATAAGTTTCATCATTTACAGTTTGCTAATGTCATATTCAACTTTGAGGGATCCACTTACACCCTAGTTTTACACACTAACACAAAATCTCAACTATTCATCTCTCCACTTTCAATGGTTGAGATTGATCACGATTTTTTAAATAAAAAAATAATTATCTTTAACAAATGTGAATAAATCTCAACCATTAAGAGTGGAGAGATGAATGGTTGGCATTTTGTGTAAATGTAGTGTGTAAGACTTGTGTGTAAGTGGATCTCTTCTCTTCAACTTTTTATAATATTGTCAATGACATTCAATCTTTTATTTTCTTTTTCCAAACGGTGCTTCTTTCTTGTTTCATTGGATTTATACATTTTTCTTTATCTTGAATGTACATCTTTTCTGTTTTACAATAAACATCACCTGGAAGTTCATGGGGAAATGAAGTCTTTTGTTTGAAGTGTCATGGCTTTTATTTGTTTCTCTTCCTCACTATCAAATGCTTGATGCTTGGTTTTGATGATTCTGCTTACATTTCTTTAGTTTTATGGTTCCAAAAGGTCTTTGGGGGCACTTTATTTCATTCCCTTTGATTTTTGTGGTTGGCAATCTTGATATTGTATTTACATATATTTGTTGGTTGTAACAAGGTTCTTAAATTTTACAGGAGAGAGCAAAATCGCTGAACTTACCAACACATATTACTATAGATGCAGGAAGAACTCAGATTGCACCCAGTGAGTTTCAAAGTTATTTCTTCTTTTCTTTCTTTTTTTTTTAATTTTTTACTTTATTATTTTCATTGTTTTGATGTGGTTAATCGTCATAGGAATTTATTTAGTTTAGAATTATATTCAGGCCCTCTAGTGTGGCAATGTAGAAGAACTAGCCTACAGGTTTTTTTTTTTTTTTTTCCTTAAAGATTTACGGTTAGGTGTCATGGTTGATTCTCATTGACCTTGGGGACTAGCAAAGTTTACGTAAAACAAACACCATTCAACCATGGCTGTGGAGATGTGTTTGTGGCTTGAACTAGAACACGGTTTTGGTTTGTGTGGTATATATGAGATGGGTATTTAAGATGCTTAAAATTAGTAGGAATTAGATGCATGGGAAGCACCATCTGAATATCATGAGTTGTGCTGAACTGCTAATAAAGCACTTGCAGTGCTTGCCAACAACAAGCTTCTAGAGCCTAGAATGGAGATGAAGGAATGTTTCTTGTGTAAATTTAATTGTATTAGAACCATCAGAGGAACTTTTTTTTTTTTTCAAATATGTGAATGGTGACTATTGGCTTTTCCCACCTCAGATTTATTGATCTATTGGGAATATTGGCAATGACAAATGATCTAATTGCATTAATGCTTATATGGTTTGGGTGCTGTGTTAATATCATACCTTGATAAGCTTTAACATTTGTAAATGGATGCCTGATCTTAGAGTTGGCTAAAGGCCAGTGAGTAGGAAAATTAGGTTCGTAGAATTTCTGGACCAGGCCAGGTCTAAGAGTTGTAAAATTGGCATGGGTAGGTCAGTCTTTGACAATATCTGGGGTGGGCCAGGCCTGAGTTCTCTCAATATAACACTAAATCCGGATATCCATGGCCTTTGGACAGATCTATGCAAGCTTAAAGACATGACAGATCAATTAATTACCAGAATTGACACGTTGCTGAAATTTCATTTGATTTGAACTTTCTTTTAACAGGCTTTTGCTCTCTAAAACTTAAATGCTTCTTGCCCACTTTAAAATTTTAATTGAACTCTGTAATATTTCATTTTGCAGATTCAAGGACTGTGATGGCTATTCTTGGTAAGCGTACCATGTTTGTTTGAAATTCTGCAACTGTTTAATTTTCTTACTTAATTTTGTAGCAGTTGCATGATCAAAACAATCATTTTGACAGACATGTAAATGTTAAGCTGTTGGTTCAATAATGGGGTCTGACCATCGTAATGGGCCTTTGCCTGATGCTTAGAATTCATGCACCTTATTACTGGGTTGTTCGATAGGTTTAGACTTCTGTGTAAGTTGTAGTGCTGAATGCATGTGATGTAGAACCAGAGAGAAATAGAAGCAGAGGATGAAAAGAAGTAGAGAATTAGGGTTGAGAAAATTATTTCAATTCATCAAAATTGATTGTAATGTTCTATCAAGAATATTTATAGGGGACAAACCATAGGTCCAAATTATATACGAAAATAATAATAAAGCTTCTAAAATTATTCAAATTACTAAATAAGTTCAACTAGTAAACTAATACTTAAACTTCCTATGAAAATAACAGTGTGTGAAAGGCTTGCATCCTTTAGGTTGTGCGCTATCATTCTCCCTTGGTTGAAAAGAACTCGACTCCAAAGAGGGAAAAGCCAAATATTCTTCAAGGAGAGCAGGAGCAAGATCAAGAAGTTCCTGTTCATTCAACCAAGAATTATTTGAGGGTGGATGTCCTTTCCATTGAACCAAATAGTGGCAGAAACCTCTGTCTTTAGAGCCGAGAAATTGATCATCCAAAACCTAGAAGAGGAGGCTCTTTAGGAGGTACTTACAATGTTACTAGAAGACAAAGCAGGGGTTCAAATATACATTTATAAGGCGAGAAATCTTCTACATTGAAAATTGCACTTATAGAATAATGATCAGGTAAATCAAGTAAATATGCCTTAGAGCCAAGTTTTTGCATAATGGAGTAAGGGCTACTGGCTCTAGCAAATAATTTTTTTGAAGCATTCTTTGGGACACACTTAGGGCAAACTCAAACCATTACAAAATCACCAACATTAAAATCTTTAGCATTACGAGGCACATCAAAAGCTAATTTATAATCAATAATCATAGGAATTTTTCATCTAATCTCGGCATGCAAGTCATGGAGGTATTGAGCAAAATATTCGGCAGGTTCAAAAACACGAAAATTAGGTGGAAGAGGAATAAGGTCAATAGGAGTACAAGATTTGTAGTGATACACAATTTCAAATGGACTCTTGCCAGTGGTACGGTGAATAGAATTGTTATATACAAACTCAATAGTAGGTAGAACTAAGTCCCAATTGCCTTGCTTGTCTCCAACAAAATAGTGCAAAAAGTTCCCAAGACTATGGTTAACATCTTTGGTTTGGCCATCAGTTTGAAGGTGAAAGGCACTAGAGAAGAGAAGGGTAGCACCACGCAATTTTCATAATGTCTCTCAAAAGTAGTTTGAAGGTGAAACTCTAGTGATTCAAGCAAACCATGTAATTTGACAATCTCTCGAAACAACAATCTAGTGATATGAGATGCATCAGTAGTTTTATTGCATGGAAGAAAATGTGCCATTTTAGAGACCACAAAAATGGAATCATGACCTCTAGCGGTTCTTGGTAACCCTAAGACAAAATCCATGCTTATCTCTTCCCAAAGTGCATGAAGAATAGGAAGGAGGTGTACCAGTATTTTGCTTTTTTCCTTTGACACTTGACATGTATGACATTGGGAGACAATCCTAGCCACATCCCTCTTTAAACTAGGTCAATAAAACCTATCCTCAACCAAGGCAACAATTTTATCCCTTCCCAAATGGCCAGCCAAACCATACGCATGTAGTTCCCAAATTAAAAAATCTCTAAGTGAAGTCTGTGGAATACAAAGGGCACATTTGGTGAAGCTTGTAAGAGCTTCAGCTTTTTGACACTATTTATGTTTTATAAGTTTAAATTTCCTCTTAAAAACTTACATTTTTTAACTTCTTTTTAACCTTAAAAAAACTTTAAATAGTAAATTCTGAAAAGCTTTAAATTTGTGCTTTTTATAAACTTCCTTTTTACTCACTTCTTCTTCACCTTTTTTTTATTTCTAAAAGTAATTTTTAAATTTTCCCTCCAATAAAAATTTAAACTTAGCACTCATAAACAGTACAAAAAATGTAAAAGCTCTTAAAAGCTTCACCAAACATGCTCAAAGTCTAGTAGGTTTAAGCAAGTACCCATCATTCAATAAAATGTCTACATGATCTTTATGAGTTTCACCCACTCATCCTTTAACCTATCAAAGCTCACGACACTAGTATGTAATGCATGAATAATGCAAACTCGCCTACTAAGACCATCAACAACCTTATATTCAGCCCCAAATGTATGTTTTAAAACAAATGTGTATTCATTTAAGAATGCCACCCAATTAGCATGTCTAGCATTTAAATGTTTTTGTGCATGTAGATATTTCAATGTTTGGTGATTAGAATAAAGCACAAACTCAAAAGGCAACAAATAATATCACCAATAACGAAGAGATTGAATGACACCATAAAGTTCTCTATCATAGGTGGAATATTTTTGCCTAGCTTCAAATAATTTCTTACTAAAGAATGCAATAGGATGACCTTGTTGACTTAGTACTCCACTTATGCCTATCCCGGAAGCATCACATGCGACCTTAAAAAGTTTATGAAAATTAGGTTGCTTAACACGCAATTTCTGCTTAATTACTACAAATGCTCTAGAAGCAGCAGGGGTCCAGTTAAACTCACCTTTCCTAAGAAAGTCAATGATCGGGGCTATAGTGGTACTAAATCCTCTAATAAAGCGCCTACAAAAAGTAGCTAAACCATGAAAGCCACAAGCTTCAGAAATTGTAGTAGGTTCAGGCCACTCTCTAATAGCTCTCACCTTGTTAGGATCTACTACAATACCTTGTGTTGACACTAAAGCCTAAGAAAAGAACACTGGATTGGAAGAAAGTGCATTTTTTAAGGTTAGCATAAAGCTTTGCAGCCCTAAGTGTCAAAAATAATTTTTGTAAATGGTCTAGGTGCTCCTTAAACTTGCTAAAAACTAAAATATCGGCAAAATAGATCACTAAGAACTTCCCTAAAAAAGGTTACAGCACATGGGTCATAGTCCTCATGAAAGTACTAGGAGTATTAGAGAGACCAAACGGCATGGCAAGCCAGTGGTTTTCCACTCATCCCTTGGGTCTAATGCGAATCTGGTGGTAGCCATTATGTTGGTCTATTTTGAAAAACCAACTAAAACCGTGTCCAACATATCCTCAAGACACAGGATAGGGAATCTATGTTTGATAATAATTGTCAATGACATGATTATCAACACAGATCCTCCAGGGCCCATCCTTTTTTGGTGTTAACAAGGCAATCATAGCACAGGGGCTGAGATTATGCCTAAGAGAAAAGGTGTATCAACTTTGTATTATTTTTATTTAAATATGTTAATTGTTGTTTTTAAATGAGGATGTAAATTTTTTTACTTTTTTTTTTTGTTTAAGAATGTCAACTTTTAACTTTTTTTATTTAAGGATACCAACTTTTAATTTTTTCTATTTAGGGATTAATTGGATATTGACGCCAATGTGGCAAATGAAGTTTTTAATTGAAATATTGAAAGTTGACATTTTTGAATAGAAAAAGTTAAAAGTTGATATTTTTAAATAGAAAAAGTTAAAAATTGGCATCCTTATCCAAAAATTGACAAAGTTAATATCCTTAAATAGAAAAAAAATACAAAATTAACATCCTTGTATACACCTTTTCTCCTATGCCTAACAAACCCTTTCACAAGCAACTTCTCAACTTACCTATTCAGCTCCTCTCGTTCCTTCCTATAATGTTGTAGGTTTAGCAACTGAGACCCAGGAACTAGATCAATGGCATGCTAGATGTCTCTCAAAGGTGGCAGCAACTGATTAGGAAGTTGATCTGGTACCACGTCACTAAATTCATGCAAAAGATTCAACCTCTATAGGTTGAGACAGTTTAGCTTGGGTATACTAAAGTTATCCTTAATTACCAATGTAAACAAGCACGGGCTCTCTAAACTTTCCCTTTCAAAAGCTCTATAACTTAAGATGTGAATGGATTGCGTAGGTGGATCTTGTGATGAGGATTTAGATAATGGTTTAGTGATATGGTTGGATCCAGCATCCACAGAAGGTTTGGCAGGGGTAAGGCAGGGGTAAGGACGATCTTTCTACCCTTATGTAAGAACTCAAAACTCAAAAGTTGTTAGCTCAACCATGATTAGTTACATCCAAATCATACAACTAGGGACATCCTAAAAGAATATGAGCAACATCTATGGGTAACATATCATTGTAAATGGAGTCCCTATACTTACCTATTTGTATAGGAACTAAACATCTCTCACTAACACATACGGTGGTCTTATCAACCCATGCAACCCTAAATGGAGTAGGGTGTGGTTCAAGCTTAAGACTCAACTTACATGGTACTACCTCCATCTATGACTAGTTGACAAGATCTCTCATTACACCTAATATAGGTTTGAAAGATGCTAGTCTTTTTCCATTCCTCCCAGCCCAGACAGTCGACAAAACACACCTAACTACATTAACATGTGGGCATTTTGTAAACTCATCCTCATCTCCAAAATACTCAACTGGATCTACTATCTGCTCATCTAAAGAGGGCTCTTCCTCAACTAATGAAGTGTCATGCCCAACATCTAAGGTCAAAGTCCGTTGTGGACAATGAGAAGCAATGTGACCCCGACCTTTACAATGGAAGCACTGAATTAATGAAGTACTAGATCCACTAGATGCACTAGGAGCACTAGAATTACTAGACTCTGATACCGAATTGATGTAGAACTAGAGAGAAATAGAAGGAGGATGAAAAGAATTAGAGAATTAGGGTTGAGAAAACTATTTCAATTCATCAAAACTGATTGTAATGTTGTAGTAAGAATATTTATAGGGGACAAACCCTAAGTCCAAATTAAATATGAAAATAATAATAAAGTTTCTAAAATTATTAAAATTGCTAACCAACTACTTAACTAATACTTAAACTTCCTACGAAAATAACACTGCTTGAAGGACTTGCACCCTCTAGGCTGTCCGCCATGAACATGGTTCCTGCCTGCAAGCAAATTGAACAATTTAGGTTGATTTGTTGTCTATGATATAGGAGTTAGAAAAAATTTGGGAAGGTTTAAGAAAAATTTTGGGTTTTATGGGATCTTAGAGGTAAGATTTTAGGTTTTCTGAGGTATAAAAGGTTTAGGGGTAATTGGTGAATTAGGATTTCCTTGATGAGTTTTAAAAGGGTGGAACAGAAGCTGGTAGCGAGGCACATGCTATTTTGAACAGTGCAAGAAGTACTGTAATTTAGTAGATATTAACATGTCAGGAAATTAGGTTGTCAGAATTTTGTTTGTCCAAATCTCCCCTACCATGGAGAGGTTACGTAGGTATTTACAAGCTGTAGACCTCCTAAATATCCTTAATTCATTAATGTTAGGATTCCATACATAATATTAAAACCTGTAAAAAGACACTAGGAATCCAAGCTAAAAACTCCAAATACTCCTAAATCAATAAAAAATTCTCCAAATTAAATGTAGGATCTTAGTGTGGATGTATAGCGGAAAGAAATCATAATTTTGTATGCAAACATGAAAATACATGTAACTTATTTTGCTAGTTCCTAAACTTCTAAAATTAAAATTAATAAATCAAAAATTAAGAATAAAGAACCTTTGGCCAAAAATAATAAAGAATTGGATTGAGCTGGGGCTGCATTAGCATTCCTGAAAGCTTTTGATTTACTCAAACCCAGGTCCTGAATGAATAACTTGGGGTTCACTCATTCGGTGCTCCAATAGTTCAATTAGTAGACTTGGGTACAAGGCTATAAGCTCCCCCCAGCCCTCTTTACCCTAGCTTCCTAAAAATTCCTTTGGTTAACAAAATTTTTTTTGATTTATCCATGTGATGCCTGGATGGTGTTTATGCAGGACCTGTTGAAGTGGTTGATGATGTAACAGGCGGATTGAAGCTCTTATAATCAAGTGAAATTTAGAGCATAGAAGTGAAGTGATAGAGTTTTGAGGGGACTGATTCCTTAGAAGACTGAATTTTATCATTAAACCTTTTTGAAGGGTAACTGCTTGGATATTTGAAATATTCTTCATCTAGTGATGGAACCCTTAAGATTCTATCGTGTATTGTGATGATAATGATAAGCTTTTATAGAAAGCTCAATCATAACGTGTTCTGAATACCAAATTAGGTAACTATTATATGGACATGCCAAAATGATTCCTATGATTTTTAGTTGATCTTGTATTTCTCATCAGATGACACAAGGGAACACATTTCTCTGCCTATTGTTTGGTATAAGAGGGTATTCAACCAAACTTAAAAATTACTTGTTTTAAAAATAAATTATTTTGTTATAAATTTAAACTTAAGAGAAATTTTAAAATGAATTTTTTAAGTAGGTTTCAATCAAATTTTGAAAAGGGTTGGATGAGCTTAAGCTTTTTTAAAAACTTGCTTAAAATTTATTTAAAAAGTCAAAATTTAAATTTTTTTAACAAAATATTAAATTTAGGAGAGAAGAAATTGTTTTTGAAACTATTTTTTATGTTTTGCCAAACATCCTCTGGTACTTGTTTTTTAAGTATGTTTTAGCAACCAAAATTATATTTAGTAATAAAAGTTTGAAATTAGTGTGTCAGTTTTGATTTTCAAAAATAATTGAAGTCATAATTTATAGTTGAAAATTAAAATATCATTTTATTAAATGTTGATATCTGAATTTAAAAATTTATTATATATTATAATATAATCAATTTTTAAATGTAAATATCAACAATTAATATGATAATTTTTGAAATATTAAATTTAATTTTAATTAAATAAAATGACGTAATTTAAGGTTATCTTTTAGTTCGCATGTTCGAACTGACTCTAAAGTTTTGCTAGGCCGTGACACACTATAGACTGGTTGTCTATGTTGTGTGCTTCTCGAGCCCCGTAACTGTTCCTCAAGCTGAGTGGCGTATCCAGTGGGCGTTCGTTTATCATTGGAACTGCTTGCTTGCCCCCCTTCTACCCCTCCTATGAAAAGATTTCTTGACATCGGTTGGAAGTTGTTGAGATTATATTTCGGAAGTTGAGTCTTACTGTGATCACCCATCTTGTCCATCGGGGGAGGATAGTTTCCTATAAAGGTTCACACCATGTTTAATTTTGATCCGTAAAGTAACACAACTTCTTTGTCTTTCCCACGTACGGCGCCAAATGTTTGGATAGCTTCCCAAACTTCTATTGTATGGAATCTTCAGCGGTTACAATACCTGAAATACTCGAAGATGTTTTTTTGGGAAGACACTCCAATGCCCAAGTCAGCAATATTCTACTCTTAGAGTGAGAAGCTCTTAGGAAAAGTAATTATAAAGAGAGAAAAGCAGTGGAGTTAATGCCTTTACATGGGGGTAGATGGGGGTATTTACGGCCTCCATTAATGATAAGATGTACAACATGCAAGCACCCGGTTAATCCAAGTGTCAACATCCACATGAGTGCATCCATGTTTGGGTTCAACTTTCGAGGCCTGTAAATGTAAGTGGGCTTGTTGAGTTGAGCCCACTATGGGTGTTGGGTCTGTTCCCCAACAAATACAACAAGTGATCAAACCGCGCTACGCGTGGGTTTTCAATCGTTTTTGTGAAATTCTATCTTAAAAATTTATTATTTATTTTTACATTCAAAAATACATTGAAAATATTATAAAAAAGGAATACAATAACAAAACTTTAATTTATTAAAAATTTTATTGAATTAATAACTAATGTAGAATAGTTTGAATGGAAATTTAATTTTTATCGTTGCTATTTTTCTAGGTAGTTTGATTGTGTACTTGACAGTTGAATATTTTCTCCTGCAATTTAATTAAAAAAGTAATTTTTATAATTATAAAACATAATTTGCACCAAAACAAAAATTATTATAAAATATAATAATTTTTCTATAAAATATATTACTCAAGCTTACCCGGATTTTAAAGATAGCTTTTCTACCTCAATAGATATAAATTTTAACATCTTGCTCAAATGATTCTTATCCTTTGGAAAAGATTTTGGGTGTCGATTTATTCATGTAAGTTTTTCTGCACACAAAAAAAAAAAAAGGTAATTAAATAATTGTAATAGGAAATCTATTAAATTTAAAAGGAAAATAATAATAGAGTAAATATATTTATACCTTGTATGTACTATTTTTGGTGGTTTATCTTGAATTTTAATGTGTTGTAGATTTCTTAATTATATGATTGAATAAATAAAGTAATGATTGAGTATTATTATAATTATTTATTGTGATGAGAATTTCTTTTATTGTATTTGATAATTTTGTAAATAAAAATATTAAAATATTAAAAAATATAATTATAATTCAAAACATAAAGAATCAACACAACCTAACCTTTCATTTCTTTTGCATTTGTTGTGATTTCTAATTTCTTCGTTTAAATATAATTTATGGAGGCAATAATACCTAAATTTAGATTAATTTAAGGAGTTTATGTTTTTTTAGTGAGTTAGTTATCTTCTTTTTAATAAAAAGAGGAATTAATAATAATTAATGAAAAAAAATAAAAGAATTGGTATTCCAAATTTATTAATAGAATAAAATGAATTTGAAAATTTTTTAATAAATTATATATTTTTTAATTTTAATATTTTTTTACTATTAATATTTATGATAATATTTTAATAATATTTACCTATTAAT